TCTTTCTTATTCTTTTCCATTATATATATACGCACAAATTTTTTGTATGTATATGCACAACCTTTTCTTGTGATACAAGGAACATTAGAGTAAGTTGCAACCAAAGTAGGAAACATAAGTATAATCCTAATCCAACTATGGCAACTAAGATGTTGGCTTACGCCAACAATATATTATAGAGATGAACTGTCACGTGCAGTTATTTTATTGTTCCCCAACAAGTATTTAAGGTGATCACGAACCCAGAATCAACCACATTCAACAAGTATTTAAGATGTTGGCTTCCCTTGGTATCTAATCATGTCCCTAATCCTCCTCCAAACCTCGTGTTTTCCGCTTTTCACTTATGTCTTCCTTTGTATCCTGGTTATTTTTTGGAAGAGATCCAAAGCCAGAAAGTCACCCCCGGGGCCATGGAAGCTTCCTATCATAGGAAACTTGCACCATATGGCCGGACCTACAACGAGAACCGTACCTACAATGAGAAAGATGCAGAGCAAGATTGGAAAGATTCTTGACAGTATCATCAATGATCATAAGGTGCAAAGATCCAAAGAGTTCACTATGGGTAATGACAAGAAGGAGGATGATGATTTTGTTGACATGCTTCTCAATCATCAGGAGTCCAATAAACTGGAGTTCAATTTGACAACCAACCAGATGAAAGATGTCATTTTGGTAAGTAGGCTTGTGCACTGATATATGTATTAATGAGCAAAGCATATTTTTTGTTGGCAATGCAATCATGCAGGACATCATTGGTGGGGGGAGTGAAACTTCAGCTACTACATTAGAATGGGCAATGTCGGAGTTGCTTAGAAACCCAGGAGTTATGGAGAGGGCCCAAGCTGAGGTAAGACAAGTCCTCCAAGGCACTAAAAAAATTGAAGAAACACAAGTTCAAAAGCTTGAATACTTGAAATCGGTTGTGAAGGAAACACTGCAATTGCGGACTCCAAGCCCCTTAATCGCAAGAGAATCAAGGGACAGGTGCCAGATTAGCGGCTATGAATTACCGATTAAATCGAAAGTAATTATCAATGAATGGGCATTAGGAAGAGATCCTGAGAGTTGGAGGGTGGATGCTGAATCTTTTGAGCCAGAAAGGTTCCTTGGTTCTTCCATCGACTTTAAGGGGTTTGATTTTGAGTATATTCCATTTGGGTCTGGTAGAAGAATGTGTCCTGGCATATCATTGGTGTTGCGATAATTGAACTTGCACTTTCTCAATTACTCTACTGCTTTGACTGGAAACTGGCCAACGGAATCAACCCGCATGAACTTGACATGACCGAGACTTTTGGAGCCATTTCTAGGAGAAAAAAAATGATTTGTATGTGATTGCCACCCCACATTTTCCTTCATTCAGCTAGCACCCTACGAAGAAGAATAAAAATGTTGTTCATGGTACGTGACTAAGACTTTTGCTCCGGCCTATGGCTGATCAGGTATATCACAAGCCTCTGTAAACTCCAACGTCATAGTACATACATCGTTGTGTAAAGCGTTATAGAGTATGTACGATGTACCCTCTCAAATACAGATTATTATTGTATTAGGTCTTGAGGTTGCCATTACCGTACTATATATAGCCTTAGAGCAGGTACGAGACAACCCAAAACACCCATTCCACTTGATTGGTAGTAGGTGATATTCCCTCTCTTTTTGTCCAACAATATATTGATCGATATAATGCCATCTATGCAAATCGTGTCAGTTAAAAATAGACAGACGGGGCTAGTTCTTGCATATGAATAGTATGTACAAATTATAGAATGAGAATACATGTGACGACTAGTTCAACACGTTAAATCTCCACTAAATAATGAAAGGCGCAAAAAAAAATTTGTCATTTTATGAAACATGCCATACATCATACTGAAAATAGTGAGGAAGGAGGTACTTGATACAAGTTCAGTTTGTTGGTGAAAAGGGAAAATGAGATAAGGGTAATGGTGTAGCCAAGAATTATTCGATGGGTGGGCTAAGCTAAAATGATTTACTATGAAATCAAATTTTTAATTTTTTGTTGCCTACTTAAAGTTATGTAATTGTAAACCTGAAAGTAATTATTTGAAATAAGAAATTTACTATGTTTTCTAAGCTTATAAGCTTTCAAGTGAATAAAATAAAGAACCATTTGTCGTATGAAAGTTTTAATGTATTACTAATAAATTATAATATTTGTCAAAGTTATGAGTTTATTTAACATTTATTAGCTCTTGTTTTTCTTAAAAGGAGTCTTAAGATTCAAAATTTTTATTTGCCAAGTAGAATATAACAATTAAAAATCATAAAATAATCCAAAATATTAATATTTTAAGCTTACAGAACCAAAACTCTCCGTATGTTATATAGCCTAGGAGAGCCTTGTACTCGGCTCCGCTAGTGGATAAGGGATCTACAGATTCAATTAAGAGATCCTATTAACAAATTATAACCCATAATTGTGAAATAAATGGATATTGTGAGTACCAGGTAACAATTTCATGGTAATTATTCATATATCCAACACTTTGATGAAGAGATCACAACCACTGACAAGGGTGCCATGGTCTACAACTTGTTGCTAGAACTGCAATCCCTATTCCTCTCATTCGATTCTCTTTATGTAAACACGTCATTAGTTTGATTCTCATAATTAACATGTCTGATACCAAATGTTTAATGACTCATTGTTTATGGCTTACCCTAACTCCTATGGTAGGGCTGATAAAAAAAAGGCAATTACCCAGAAGGAGGACAATTTCTTAATCTTATAACAGAAATAGGACATTTCAAATATGCACACGTCATGCATAAAAATCGGATAGAAATAGGATTTTTCTACACCTTGAAATGACTTAATTTCCCTTGTATATAAATGGGTTATTTGCTCTTATTTTCTGATTTCTCTCTCTTTATTCTCTCTCCCTCCCTTTCTCTCTTCTCTCACTTTCTCCCTCATGCACTTTTTCTCCCTTTATCATTGTGCACATACAGTGCACTATCATCCCAACCAACACCGTCCAAATCGAAGCCACCACCAATTTCATCTCGTCCTCACGAGTCCAAAACACTTAGTCTTGTCACAAATCTCATCCTCGATCGTTGGGATTGAAACTTAAGCAGGCCGCAAGTTTTTTGGCCATTTTCCTGCAACACGGCAAATAACCAAGGCTCGAGACCACCACCACTGGACTGGCATCGAGGGTGGGAACAAAGCCCAGTCATTAAATGTTGGTGTTTTGTTCGATGAATTTTTCAGGATTTGGCCACTGCATGTACATGGCATGCACATGATATGTTCACAAATGTGAGCCAACCCAAAAACCTAGATGAATTAATACTAAGAAGATAAATTAGGGTTTGTGTTTCATGTTGGGGCCTATGGGTTGTGGTATAGATTTCAAGTTTTGACATGCTACAAAACTGGGATGGAACAATTTCTGGTTCAAGTGTCCAATTGCAGAAATTTGTGAAAATTTTTCTGTAATGTGCATATGGTGTGGATATGGTGTGCATGGCTACATCTTAATATGAGAAGCGGGAATGTTCACTAGTTATGATGCATGTATGTTGTGCCCTGAAATTTAGCGAGTATGACCACAACCTAGTTGGCCTCAGCAAAATACAAATTAAGAAAAAGCTTAAAGGATGTTAAGGATCGTGCATGTCCATGAAATGATGACAATGAGTATCATGTTTTTCACGTGCATGGCTAAGCGGTGATTGATATACGTAACAAGACTTTTCAAACTGCCACTGTAACCTTATACACTAGGAATTATGTTTTAATTGTATTCATTATACCAATAGGTTGCCGTTAAAGTTTCTTATTAATGCGAAAAGCAACTCGTTGCTCAATCTCTAGTTCTATGCATATCATATGCATGTAACATACATATGATGTGCATGTGGTGTGCATATAGTGTACATGGTGGTGATGTCGTAGGTGATGACGTCATTTTTCTGATTTCGAAAAGAGTGTTGTGAGCTCTAGGTTTTTGGAGTTGGAATATTATTATGAAGTTAGCCATGCACACCATATGCATACCACATGCACATTACAGAAAAAATTTCACAAATTTCTGCAATTGGACACTTGAACCTAGAAATTGTTACATCCCAGTTTTGTAGCACGTCAAAATTTGAAATTTATTCCACAACCCATAGGCCCCAACATGAAACACAAACCATAATTTAACTTCTAAGTATTAATTCACCTGGGTTTTTAGGTTGGCCCAGATATGTGTGCATATCATGTGCATGTCCTGTACATACAGTGGGCAAATCCTTAAAAATTCATCCAACAAACACACCAACATTTAATGACTGGGCCTTATTCCCACCCTCGATGTGAGTCCAGTGGTGGTGGTCTCAAGTCTCGGTTGTTCGTGTTGTTGAAAAATGGTCGAAAAACTCGTGGCCTGCTTGAGTTTCGATCCCAACGATCGAGGATGAGATTTGTGACAAGGCTAGGTGTTTTGGACTCGTGAGGACGAGATGAAATTGGTGGCAGCTTCGATTTGGACGATGTTGGTCGGGATGACAGTGCATCGTGTGTGCACAGTGAGAAGGGGAGAAAGAGTGCGTGAGGGAGAAAGTGAAAGAAGAGAGAGGGAGGGAGAGAGAGAGTAGCGAGAGAAATCAGAAATGGGGGAAAATAACCCATTTATATGTGGGTATTTTAGTAATTTCAATTTTGTACATGATGTGTATGGCTTGTGCATGACCAATTTATCCTATTTTTGTTTCAATATTATGAAATTATCCAAGTTTAAGATATTTCCCTAAAAAAACCTAAAAATCCAAATCCGACCCAAAAAAATCAAATGCGTGAACCCCGAACCATTTGGTAACTGAAACCGAAAAAACTCCCAAAACTTTTGGTACGAGATTTGGGATCACAACACAGTATGTTTGGTAATACTGAACCGAATCAAATATAAATATTTTTTAAATAATTATAGCCATTGGAATTGGATTGGTTGAAATTAAATCTCAACCGTTGGTTTGATTCCAAGTATTAAGAGAGAAGACTCAGGTCAGTTCACTTGAGTCTTCCCTCCTCGATTGTCTAATACTCGAACCCAGACCAAACCAGTTCAGAGACCACCGCCAGCCGTCGCGACTTCAGGTCTTCCTCAGCGGCCAACCACCGCCACTTCATCCACTCTTTGGTATGAAAATTTAGATGTCGTTGCTTAAAAAATAGTTGAGTCGAATCTGTTGGACTTTGTTTGAATTTGGTTTTGCTTTACAGGGCGTGCCTGAATTCGTCGGCAAAAATGAAGAAAATGATAGCTCTAGGGTTTGAGGGTTCAGCCAACAAGATTGGTCTCGGGGTCGTCACTTTAGATGGCACAATTTTGTCGAACCCACGCCACACATACATTACTCCTCCCGGTCAAGGGTTCCTTCCCCGGGAAACTGCACAACATCACTTCCAACACATCCTCCCGCTGGTCAAATCTGCTTTGGAAACTGCCCAAATAACGCCTAAGGAAATTGATTGCCTCTGTTACACCAAGGGTCCTGGCATGGGAGCACCACTACAAGTTGCTGCCATTGTTGTGAGGGTTCTTTCACAGCTGTGGAAGAAGCCCATTGTTGCAGTTAATCACTGTATTGCACATATTGAGATGGGAAGGGTTGTGACCGGTGCAGATGATCCTGTTGTGTTGTATGTTAGTGGTGGCAACACACAAGTAATTGCATATAGTGAAGGGAGGTATCGAATCTTTGGCGAGACCATTGATATCGCTGTTGGAAACTGCTTGGATCGGTTTGCCAGGGTATTAACACTCTCCAATGATCCAGCCCCGGGATATAACATTGAGCAGGTAACTTGAATGTGGTATATTTTCATTCCGTTTTAACAGTGGAGGTTGAAACTTGGCATAGTTGTTGATAATTGGTTGGAGCTTGACCTGGCCAAAGTTTGAGGTCAGGCTGATTTTTTAATGATAACGAACAAAGCATTTATCAAAAAGATAAATTGAACATGAAACTTTTTGATTCCATTTTAACATTTAAACTCATTAAAATGATTGTTACCACAAAGAGAGCACAATGGAGAAAAATTTGTATTGTATGGGAGATGGTGGCATTAATGTAGACAGGAGGTGAAATGGCTTCCTTGTTTCTTGTTGCGTAAGCAGCCCGTGGTATTAGAGAATGGGTTGAGTTTGCAGTTCTTGTTTGATATTTTCATATGGTACCTAATCCTAGATTTAGTATCATTGAAGAAGCCTGATTTTGATGGTTCGTCGAGATTGTAAGATGTGAATGTTGGTTGTCAATTACTCGGATTCTTCTTTCTGAAGTTGAGAATGCCGTTATGATATTTCTATGTATTACATTGTGGGTGGCCGACTTGCGGCTTATATATGGTGCATTTGAAATCTATGAACCCCTCATAATTGAGTAGTAGATTATCTTTCTTAATACATGTATACTTTGACAGTTTCTTTACAAGTTTTAAATGCTTGTGGAGATCGATTGCTCAATATCGGGGTTATCAGTTTTTGCTGTCAACTTCCCGTGCCTTGCATGTATTTTATCATATTGGATTGTTCATCTTGCCTTAGATTGCACAGAATTTTTATCATCGTTAGTGTCATCCATATTACTATTATTGATCCCTCCCCCTTGCAGCTTGCAAAGAAAGGAGAACAGTTTATAGATCTTCCTTATGTTGTCAAAGGAATGGATGTGTCTTTTAGTGGAATTTTGAGCTATATTGAAGCTACTGCTGTGGAAAAGCTCAAGAATAACGAGTGCACACCTGCAGACCTGTGCTACTCGCTTCAGGTAAAATTGGAATCAATGCTATTTTCATGGGAATATAGGTTTTAATCGATGGAGCTTGTCAAGAAATAACCGAGCGACTGAGTTTTTCAATTTAATAGCTCTGCAAGCAAAAGACGAAGAAGAACGACTTTAACAACTATACCAATGGTCTACCTACATGATTAACTTATCTTATTTATCTTATTGCTTCAGGAAAATGTGTTTGCAATGCTTGTGGAGATAACAGAACGTGCAATGGCGCATTGTGACAAGAAAGATGTTCTTATTGTTGGTGGTGTGGGTTGCAATGAACGGTTGCAAGAGATGATGAGGACCATGTGCACCGAACGGGGTGGAAGGTTGTTTGCAACTGATGATAGGTATTGTATTGACAATGGGGCCATGATTGCTTATACTGGTCTTCTTGCTTTTGCCAACGGCACATCAACCCCGCTGGAGGAATCAACTTTTACCCAACGGTTTCGTACTGATGACGTTGAAGCTGTCTGGAGAATAAAAGAAGAGTCAGAAAAAGTAAATGGGTTGAAGAATGAGAGTACCTGAATCTTATAATTCTTAGGTATGGCGCTTCTGGTGCTTCAATAATTAACATAAATGATGAATTTCTAGTCTGATTCATGATTAGAATTATCATAATTTTTCTTAGGAAGGTGACTTGGTTTTGTTGCCCTTGCATATTAAGCAAGTCGTGTTGCATTTACACCTTGCTATGCATCAGGATGCATGCTCTTCATTGTGCATTTAGTTATTGACGCATCTACACAATTTTTTATTTTGAGGTCTGGTTTCGTTTAATGCTAGTCGGCTGATCTCACTACAGAACATCAGTGGGCTGAACTCATTTTACATATACACATATATTGCTTTGGTTTAAGCCTAGATTAAGGAGTACTTATATTTTCCATTCCTTTAATTTGTCTTTTTCTTTTTATGGAAAAAGTGTCGTGGTGTTTACTACCCCAAAAGAAAAGTCCTAATAAATATGACATTGATAGACAGAACAAGTCAGAACAATCACATATAATTGCTTGAAAAGTATTGATGAACAGTACGATGATGTGTGTGAGCGTATTTATGTATATGTTTTGCTTCTGCCCTGCTGCTCTTGCATCAAGCTTCAAATTAAAAGCAGGTTGGTTTAGTTTATTAAACAGTTGGAAAGCCAGATCTCAACAACCTGAGTGACTTAAATCTGTCACGCCTTGTTTGCCAGCAGTTTAGCGTTAAATCATGTGTGCACTTGTTTCGCTGACTATGTTTTCACGTTTTGCAATTGCCTCTGTAAATTAATGTATTGTCTTTGATTGAATTTATCAGGTAAAGCCGAGGCATTTCATTTCTTCTTGGTGCAACCTTCAACAATCTTATAAGATTTGCAGTGTCTGGCATGATATTAGAAAAGAGCTTGTTCTGCGGTAATCATAATCGTATGCTTTTCCAATGTCCACGAAGCACCATGTTTGTCATTAAACTTTGAATCATTGAGTTCCAAGGGAAATCGAAAACTGATATGGCTGCTACCCTTTTATATGTTTTTATATGTATTCGTACTGTCTGTTGAGCTTGTGCTCTCATTACGGATATGGTTGTACACTAAAAATGGCCGATTCTTCTGAATATTTTAGTTTTCAAAGAATTCTTGTTACAATATTTTCTATATTTTCTGCATTTTGAAGTAAGAATGCAAGTGACTTGGGTGTAGAAGCTGCGCGGTGCAGGGGATCATACTTAATGCGTGTACATACGTGTGACCCTAGCAGACTTGATCTGTTGCAAGGCTCAACCAAAAAAAAACAAACATGATACAAAACCAATGTAAAATTTTGCCAAAGAATCGGTATAACCTCCCCTAAAAATACAACATTTCCCATAACCTGCAAATAGTTATATTCATATGTTGTCCGCATCCAACCAACAAACGTAAAATTCATAAAATTTGCTTACTAGCTGTTTGCGACCCACCTCCTTCAACTGTCGATGCCGCAAGACTGTTGGATGGCTGGTTAGTAGGGAAAACAGGTGCAGATGTCAAACGCAACATCTGCAAAATTATAATTTCAAACTATAAGTCTCTGCTTCAGCGTATAATATTTTATTATACCAAATCGACCAACATAATTAACTTCGTATCAATGGTTATGAAATTTTAAAAAGTTCACACCTCGATGTCCTAGGCTAATGATGCAAAAATTTAATCCACCTAAGCTACATATGTTTCAATTACCCAAAAACTCAAAATTTCACATAACTCACAATTTACTAATAAGATTGAGGGAAACATATATACGTTTACTTTAGAGGGCGTAGTGAATTTGGATTTCAGAGGATTTTAATAGAATTTTTTTAAGTGTTGGATTTCATAGAATTATGTGGTTACCCTAATCTTCATTTGTAGTTACCCTAATCTTCAAATGTAATAGAATTGCGTATCTTCTAATCTTCATTTGTGGTTACCCTAATATAATCTAGAGGCGTATTAAAAGAGATTGAGGATAGAAAGGGCATGAGGTAGTTGGGTTGAATAGTCGCTTGATGGGCGTGTGGGCTGCACTGTGTGCATAGGATACAGGTAGCCTTGACGGCTGATGAGATGGGGTGAGGGAGAGAGAGAGATAGGTGGGGGAGGGAGGGGGATGTTACGGCACCAACCTCCTTCCCCTTGTTTTCTTTTCATTTTTTAATTTTAGATCTTCTATAGGGGGAGCCCAAAGATGGGAATTGTAAACAGAATTTTCTTCTGTTATTATTAAATCGCTTACAAAAATCGGTAGAATGGTAAACAAGGAGTGGAAATAATAGTGCCTTTTGTAAATTGTAATATGCAGTTGATGTCTCGTATAGTGGAAGATTCTCTTACATTTGAGACATTACACTAATACTTAACTCAGTATTGCCATTGCGCGTAGCTTCATATAAATCCAAGTAGTAGTGGAAGTTGAGATAATTTTCCCTAAATTCAAGTTATTAGTCTTTCCTTAGATGTATGTAGACCTGGCAATTTCTGATACTAACCGATAACCCGACCCGACACAACATAAAATTAACAGGTGTTCGGATCAACACGATAACGAATCGGGTCGTTATTGTATAATCCAATAAGCATCTGTTAAGATAACGGGTTGGTTCGGGTATACACGTGAGTAACATGATACACGATAAGCAAAATATTAATTTTATAATTTTATAACCCTAAAAAAATACTATAATAATTATCTCTACTAATTAATGAAACTCTCTTTGTCAACTAAAAGACGGTGAAAAGACAAATTAGTCTTTTATCACGCAAAAAAAATGATGGGCAATAATATAATTTCTCAGGTTCAAATTTTACTGTTTTTTATTGAAGCCTCACCTACAGATGATGTTAAAATACCTCTAATATTTTAAAAAAAAAAAACAAAAACAAAAACCTCCTACTCCCCCATGTTCTCTCTCTCTCTCTCTCTCTCTCTCTCTCTCTCTCTCTTTTTCTAAAAAAATGCGTTCATACACGCAAAATGTCTAGGCAAATGCTAGTGTATATTAATTTAACAATTTTATACCCCTAAAAACTATAATATATATATATATATATATTAAATTAAATATTAAGAATTGGTGACCGTTGTGTTAGATCCCACATCGCTTAGGAAAGTGGATCATCTATACTATATGTACATGCCCACCACCATAAAGCACAAGAGCTTTTGAGAGCTCACTCGCTTCGGAGTTCATCGGAACTCCGAAGTTAAACGAGTTTGCTTGAGAGCAATCTCAGGATGGGTGACCTACTGGGAAGTTCTCGTGTGAGTTCCCAGAAACAAAACCGTGAGGGTGTGGTCGGAGTTCAAAGTCGACAATATCATGCTACGGCGAAGTCAAGCCCAGGATGTGGTGGAGCCCGGGTCGGAATGTGACAATTGGATCGGCTAAAATATACATACCATTCAATTTCTTGAATGTTATACGTACAAAATAAAACCATTTAAATCTACTTGATAAATATATATATACACACACCATTGAACTTGATGGGATACGAATTCTACAAAACTAATTTCAATGATCCAACCATCAAACTTATTTGTACATTCTTTGAGATCGTATCAGCAAAAAATCGCAAAAAACAAACATTCAAAGATCAAGTAACAGGATAAAACTTTTCGACGGTTATCAACGAAAAATCATGATTTAACGGTTATTTTAACTCCGATTTTGATATTTTTTACAACTACACTCCTTGACCCTATATGAATACAGTGAATGAACTCGATTTTCAATTTAAAATATTTACATTAGTGGATACCACAAATCGTATGTTATACTTAATGAAAATATGAATAAACTCTTAAGTGTTTGTTAATCTATTGTTTTGATGGGATACGCATTCTACAAAACTAGTTTCAACGATCCAATCGTCAAATGTGTTTGTATATACTTCGAGATCGCATACGCCAAAAATTGCAAAAAATAAACATTCATAGATCAAGTAACGAGACAAAAATTTCGACAGTTATAAACGAAAAATCATGATTTAACGGTTATTTTAACTCTGATTTTGATGATTTTTTTACAGCTACACTCTTGACCCCATATGAATACAATGAATGAATTCGATCTTCAATTTAAAATATTTACACTAGTGGATACCACAAAATCTTATGTTATACTTAATGAAAGTATAAATAAACTTTTAAGTGTTAGTGAATCTATCGTTTTGATGGGATACACATTCTACGAAACTAATTTCAACGATCCAACCGTCAAACTTGTTTGTATATGCTTCAAAATCGCATATGTCAAAAGTCACAAAAAACAAACATTCAGAGATCAAGTAACGAGACAAAACTTTTCGACGGTTATCAACGAAAAATCACGATTTAAGGTTATTTTAACTCCAACTTTAATGATTTTTTTACAGAACAAGAGCCTAATAAGGAAATAACTACTAAAAGTAGACAACGATGTTCAATTTTTGTATCTTTGTTAGTGGTAGATAAGGATGATAAATATTTTTCATACGTAGATAGTTGTGTCAAATGACTCGAATCTTTTTCATAGGTAGATAATAATGATGTTCCATATCTTCGTCATAGGTAAAGAAGTGCCACAAGTAGATACCAATATTCAATATTTTGTACCTTTGTTATAGGTTGATAAAGATGTTCAGTAATATTTTTTTTTTCATACGTAGGCTCTAATCTTTTCAGACCCCGATCGACTCTCCGGAGTCTTTCTTGAGCTCTTACCAACAAGAACCTTCAAAACTACAACTACGTAGACTGCCTGCGCGACTGCACCATCACAGACTGCTTAATATGATGGCCTGCACGACTGCACCATCACAGACTGCCTAATATGATGGCCTGCACGACTGCACCATCACAGACTGCTTAATATGTGCACCATCACAGACTGCCTAATATGATGGCCTGCACGACTGCAACCATCAAAGACTGCCTAATATGACCTGTCATTCTCACGTAAACCGCCTATAAAATATCATGAGTTACAAACTGAAACATTCAGATTAACAAACTGGGGTTCTGCTTAAACAACAAAAAGCAAAATGGAGGAGCATTATTTCTTTCTCAACCCATTGTTCTGGGCTACCTCTGTTTCCTTCATCTCCCTCTCTCTAGTTGTCCTCTTATATAGGCACAGATCCCAATTCACTAGCGAAAACCTCCCGCCAGGAAATGTAGGCTACCCCGTGATCGGAGAGAGCTTTAAGTTCTTGGCTTCTGGATGGAAAGGCCAACCTGAAAAGTTCTTCTTCGACCGAATAACCAAATTTTCCTCCCAAGTCTTCAAGACCTCCCTCTTTGGGGAGCAAGCTGCCATCTTCTGCGGTGCGGCTTGCAACAAATTCTTGTTCTCCAACGAGAACAAGCTTGTCGCTGTTTGGTATCCCAGCTCTATCAAAAAGATCTTCCCTTCTTCCACTGAAACTTCTAAAAAGAAGTTTAGAAAGTTGATTCCGAAGTTCATGAGGCCTGAGGTTTTGCAACGATACATCGGCATCATGGACACTAGTGCCCGTACACACTTTGCTGATGCTTGGGAAAATAAAAACCAAGTTCAAGCCTTCCCCCTCACTAACGAGTAAGTCCAACTATTGTGTACATCAAGAAATTTATTAATTTATATATTTTCTTTCTGGTAGACTTTTGTGAATCTCAATCTCAACAAAAATTTACTATTTAGATTCACATTAAAATATGACGATAATGGATCAACATCGCAAGATTTATAGTCTGATAACATATATGTATGTTTATAGATCAATTCCATATATTTTGGATGGGATATGAATAATGAAGCTAAAAATTATGAATAATGCTAGGTAGACTAACTTTTTAAATCACATCTGTAAACCATGTGATGTGTCACCAATAAGAACTAAACACGTTAATCAATTTTAAATAAAAAGCACTCATTAAATATTAAAACAATATATAATATGAATTTGAATTAGAACACCATGTTCTAATTCATTTTCAATTTTTTAAAGAATGAAATTTCAAAAACCCCATATAAAGCTTGGACGTACGAATATTTGGTTTTTATATGATATATAATGTGTGTTACGTACATGAATACAGCTACACCTTTGGTCTTGCTGTACGCTTGTTTCTGAGCCTTGAGAACCCAAAGGAAATGGAAGAAATCGGTCATTCAATCCATCTGTTGAACGCCGGAATCATATCGATGCCGATTGACTTCCCAGGGACCCCATTTCATACTGCCATAAAGTCCTCCAAATTCATCAGGGACGAGCTGCAGAAGATAATTAAGCAGAGGAAGATTGATTTGGCAGAGGGCAAGGCCTCCCCAACACAAGACATATTGTCACACATGCTGTTGACGTGCGATGAGAACGGAACGTGCGCGACGGAATGGGAAATTGCTGATTGGATTAATGGGTTGTTGATTGCTGGCCATGAAACGACGAGCGCTACCTGCGCCTTCATTGTCAAGTATCTTGCCGAGCTTCCTCATGTCTATGATGCAGTCTACAATGGTAACCAACAGTGAAACATATTCTGACAAAAAAAACTGTCAACATATTTGTCAAATACTATCCATTTCAGTCACATGCATCATATTTTTATCTGAAAATATAACTTTATTCATTAAAATTTAATTTTCTCTACATAAAATCCGACATAAGTTTTTTACTCGAATAAAACTCATTTACTAGATTCCACATCAGGAAATTCATTAATTATGTTTGACTTAACACATTTAAAATTTTCTGAATCCCTAAATTACCCCTATTTGAATGTTTGATTTACACAATTAATGTCATGCGAATTATAAGGGAGAATTAATAATTTTATTGAAAAAAACATTTGTTATAAATTCATTGCCTAATATATAATAACAATAAAACATGTCTAATATATTGACATACTTAATTAAGTCACTAAAATTATATTTTACATATTAATCTAGGTAAATTATTTCACACATATATAAAAAAAAATGACTAATATATGTAAAATTTCATGCAAAATTCAAATAGTGCACCTACTATTAAAATTTTAAAATGTTATATTGCTCAAAATAATTTACCCTATCTATGTAAAATACATGAAAAATAATTTACCTACATAATAAACAAACAATATATGCAAAATAATTTACCTACATAATAAAGCAACATTATTTTATTTAATAATAATTTACCTACAAAATATATTATTTGCTAATCATAAATTTACAAATAGGTTAATCAATTACATATAATAATTTTGTAACATATATGTTAGTACTGCGCATATATATATATTTGAACATATAGTAGTACTATATACATATAGGTAAATTATATGTATATTGAACTTTTAGTAGTATGATATACTTTTGAATGTATTTATGTATATATATAATTTATATATGTTAGGGGTAATACTAGTGTGTGCAATAATTATTTGTTCATTATAATTAAGGTAAGTAATAATATTTATTGATTTGATTTGAATATTGTGGCACAAGTTGTAAATATTTTGTAATAATAGGTCAATTACTTTTCTATTTGGCAGTCTTTTTCAAATTTGGATTTTATTTGGATGTTTAGAATTAGGTGGATTTTTATCTAGAAAATAAGAGTTGCAATAATCTATATCTAAATAATCCTATTTTTATTTATACTCGAAATTCTGTTTTCGAATCTCTTTTCTCGTAATTCAATATATACAGTATCATTTGTTTTGTAAACATAAATTTTGATATTATTGAAGGAAAATTTAATGATTTTTTTATATAGCTACAAGTACAGTCAAGAGAAGGTGAAAAACCAATTAAAGTTTGATCCTGTTGATAGTCTACGCTTTTGTATACATATATAGGAAAGTCGATGGATATGAGCCCGCATGATATAACTTAAATAGGAAAGGAGCCGCGTGTCTCTAGAAAGCCAATAGATCATATGACCTTAGTTTTTCAAACATTTAAAAATGAAAGTTTTAACGAAATACTTTTGGTACTGTTTATTTTTAACGAAAAATTATATTTTTATTTTTCTTGATATCACTTACTTACACCTTTATTGATCATTTTTCATTAAAACTAATTTTTTTTTAAACTTTTCATTAGTTTTCCTTTTAAAAATAAAATTTTTAGTTTTGTTCCCTCGCACTCCCGATCTCTAGGAAAGTCGTGGTGTTACAAAATGATTTAAGATATAAATTTATTATTATTATTATTATTATTATTCTAAGTCTATAATATACTAATGATGTTGTTGTCCACTTATTTTATATAATATAATGTGAGGTGTGACATTCACATCTTTTAGAGATTGCCTTTTCCAAGGAAAAGACAGAGGTACATATGAATTTCCAAATAAGCAAATAAAAATATTTATAGAAATAATTTTAATTGGCAACACAGATGCATGTATTAGTCGTGTGTGGTGGACTAATAGCGCAAAATTGTCTTAAACTTAACAGAACAAATGGAGATTGCAAATTCAAAAAGTCCAGGGAAGTTACTGAACTGGGATGACCTTAAGAAGATGAAATACTCATGGAATGTAGCTTCCGAAGTGCTGAGAATGTCTTCACCTGTTCAAGGAGGCTGGAGGGAACCCTTGACCGACTTCATGTTTCATGGTTTTTACATTCCAAAAGGGTGGAAGTTATATTGGAGTGCAACCTCAACGCACAAGAGCGAGGCTTATTTCCCCGAGCCGGAGAAATTCGACCCGTCAAGATTTGAAGGAAGCGGACCAGCACCATACACATATGTTCCATTCGGTGGAGGCGTACGGATGTGCCCCGGCAAAGAGTACGCAAGATTGGCAATACTAGTGTTCATGCACAACTTGGTGAAAAGGTTCAAATTTGAGAAAGTTCTAGCGGACGAGACGATTGTTGTTAATCCATTGCCCGTGCCTGCTGAAGGACTTCCGATCCGCCTTTATCCTCACACCCAAAAAGAAGTATCAACTTAGGCTTGATGGCTTGTTTAAAAATAAGTGGAATTGGATTGAAGATTAATTGAATAAAGGAGATTTTAAATCCAGATTTCCATTAAAATTACAGTTTTTTGAAATTGGAGTAGAAATGGTACTGATTGAAAATAAATTGTTTATAATTCACTTGAATCGGAATAAAAATTTGTATGATTCTAAATATCCTTTGTATAATTTTTTTATTTATAAATGAGAGGTCTTAAGTTCAATTCTCGTCAAATGCGAGTTTGAACCATATTATTACTAAACCATTGTAAGGTTAAGGCCATTTCTTTTTCTTAATGTAGATAATATCGTTTGTTAAAAAAAAAATAATTTTTTATATATAGGAAATAATCAAGTCAATTGATATAAAATTGAAAATAAAAAACTAACTAACCGAACCCCAACCAATCGTTCCTCTCCATCTTTGCCTCTTATCTTTCAACAATTTGAAATGGAAGGTCGGTTTGTGGCCAATGGGCAGTGGTGATGTCATTTTTTTTAAGGTTTAGCTTTCCACCAGTTGTTTCTATTTTTTGAAAAAAAAAATGTGGGGAGTTTAGTTTTTGACATTTTAATAACTAAAATCACAACAGGATTGTTCACCAGCTTTCCATTGATCTTGGTTTCTGGTTGTTGTGGAAGATGCTGGAGGGCGGTGGTGAGGGAGGACACGCGCTGGGCACGGGTGCTGGTAAACAAGAGTGTGGGGGTTTGTTGCGGCTGGGCAATTAAAAAAATTAAAATTTTGTGTGCATAGGGTATGGATCTCCTCCCCCTTTCTTTTCTTTTCATTTTTTTTTCCTTCTGTTTTGTAGAAAAGTAGGATATTTTTTTTTTATAAAATAACTTACAAAAATGGGTAGAATGGTAAAAAGGAGCGGAGATTGTGAATTGTAATAGGCGGTTGATGTATCGTCTAGTGGAAGATGTGAAAACCAAATCAAAGTATGAGAACATACTAGTGGAAACTGGAAGCTTTGTGGACGGTGACCGCTGAACTTGAAGGAATATCCAAGAAAGATGCGACTTTAAACGCCATTGTATTTGCACGTAGCTTCATATCCAAGTAGTTGTGGAAGTTGAGATAATTTTCCCTAAATTCAAGTCATTAGTCTTTGCTTAGCTGTATGGATATAGTTTCCAGAGTCAAATTAAACACACTTGAGAAGAAACTGTTTCGAAAGTATTATACCTTTTACCTAGTAACTTGTCATTCACGTGACAAATCCAGACTGTTAAACAAAGAAATAAGAAGTTGTGAAGAAGAATCATGAAACGAAGGGCTCAAGAACAATTAGAAAAGGGAGAAAAGAATCATGGAAAACATTCTTCTTATGCCTAGTACGACCGCGTCTAATTTGGTAGCCAAGGTTGCAGATTTAGCCTGATTTAGTACTAAGGTGATTCTGAAAAAAGCTGGTATAAAAAAAAGTTAGGAGCTGTTTTTGTGTTTGGTAAACATTCAGCTTCAGCTTTTTTTTCACAGTTTTGGGTGAAAAAAAAACTAAAAACAAGAAGCTGCAAAACCCAGCTTTGAAAAAACGGCTTTTTTCATATCTGTTTTACATATAAGTTTACCAAACACTATAATATTGCTTTTTTTTTTTTTTTTTCAAAAGCACTTTTATAAAAAAGTTTACCAAACATTCTGCTGCTTTATTTCACAGCTGCTTATTCTCACAGCACAACAAAAGTAGTTTTTTTTCAAAGCACAGTAATACCAAACTAGCCCTTAGGATTGGCTTAGAGGAGTGGATGGAAAGGCAATCCCATGTATGCAGACGCATATGCTTGGGCTGATAATGCTCAGGAAGAGACTTCAATTGACGTATGGTCACTGGGTTGTATTGTACTTCAAATGCTAACCGGCAAGCTCCCATGTGAACTTGTCGAGTTCTTAGACATGGCTTCTTTTGAATTAACTCCCAATAGCCCTGCTGAGATCTCAAACGAGGCTAGAGATTTCCTGAAGAGTTGCTTTGCCCCGAGACCTCGGGAAAGGTTGACAGCTGAAAAGCTCTTGCTCCATCGTTTTGTAGCACAGCCACAAGCATTAGAAGCTAATGATCATCATACCCAGGTGGTTAAACAGCGGAAAGGAATGTTGAAGAAAGGCATCATCAGCTCAACTTTCGGCAATCCGGATGGTTTCTTAGTTAAACCACGTGCAGACTACCACACAAGGTCTACCACTGTACCCAGAATTAATCCCCATCCGGCAGGTCGTGTCTTAGTGGGATTGTTGTTGTAGATTAATTTGTTCCCTGTTTGTTTTTTTTAACATTTTGTAAAGTTCCTTGAAATTAATTATTTCAAGTTCCTAGACTGAATTGTAATAAAACTCAAGTTAATCTGGCAAGTCGAGGTTTATTGTCCAATGTTTCAGAATGATTTCAGGTTGGTTTCTCGGCATACAGATGGAGTTGAATTTTTTTTTCTTTTTCTTTTTGTAATTTATTATTATTAAAGAGAGTGGAGGATTTGAAACTATTACAATAATTTATGAGAGGGAAAAGTTTCGAATCCGGGACTCAAGGATGCAAACCTAACATTTTATCCATTAAGATATTAGAACACATGCAGATGGAGTTGATTGGTTTATACATACACTTAATTTGAAATGTTTTGACTATATGAGATTTCCAGAGCGTGGGGTTAGTACTTTCGAAATGTTTTGACTAGATAAATAATTACGATCCACTCACACTTTGCTTTTTCAACCCCTCATGACCTAATGAGACCAAGGCGACTTTCAACGACAAGTAGGCTTGGTAGTTGTTCAGTTTTCCTACGAAATAGGGCGATGACTGGATAATGCCAAAATTTTCACATTGACGATTGTTCGATAAGTATTGCATGTCTTTTGTGTTTGAAATTGAACATCATATTCCCTATGTTCACCCCAATAAAAAATCTCACAGAGCGATCATATAGCTTAATCAATTGATCACCTAGACCTTGGTGAACGCACCAAGCTTTTGGTTTCTGCCTAGGGCTATACAATCTTGTATGCCAATTATGTTTGTCCGCCTGAGGCCCATCACCATCCACCATATTTATAGTGTTATAGTCGCTTACTGGGTACGAAATGAAGTTTTCGTACTTACACATTTGGTGTGCGGCTTATGTACCGAGTTGCGTCGCTGCAACGTAGCAATATGGATCCTCAAAAAAGAATGTGAATCTATGTCAATTATGAATCTCCTTCAAATTTACTCTTTAGAGCCCTTGCAGGTGATTTCTTAACCGTTTATTCAAGGAAAGTTACACATTAGAACTGCAGTAACGTATCAATATGGATCCTCAAAGCTGGATGTGAATCTCCTTCAATCTCTTTCAAATTAACTCTTTAGAGCCCTCGCAAGTGATCTCTTACCACGCATCACCACCATCACGCAATGTTTGGTCTTTGAGTGTGAGTATTCAGGACTATTTTTATGACAACCTAGTCTCGACAATGATCACTCTTTCCAAGACTCCCTAATTTAAACACTTTAAACATAACGGTACTCGTTAAGTTTGGAGCTGGAAATGGTTTGGGTCAACTCTCTCCCAGACTAGGTACGTTGAAAATCTTCACATGTATTTCTCTGTGTTGAGGTAGTACATATGGTTTTGGAATGTTTTGATTGCTTTGCTTGTTCGACAATTTTTCTAGGCATCTAGATTTGATAGGGGATACTGGGAACTCCAAAGCCTGGACTTCATTTCTCAGCCCAAGGAAGTAACCATAGAGGTTTCTTACCAATCCGATTTTATCGCTTTTTATGCAAAAGTATGATTGAAGGCCACAGATAAAAACAACTACAAAAATAATTAGGAAATAATCCTTTGAGGAACTGATCCAGCAGCCGTAAGTCTTTTAGGTTCCCGATTGCAAATAGCTCTGAAACTCAACGGCAGTTCCAAACTGCAAAAGACGGAAATGGCGTCATGGCAACATCAGGTGGCCGGAATTGGTACCTGCAAATCGATATCTCCACTAATTTGAGTTCTTCCCAGACCAATATTAGTAGGGTCTGGCAGCAGCAGCTCTGCCTACACATCCAAACTTCATTGTCCAAAACTCCATTATACAAGGAGGACAGACCCGAAAAGATGATGAAAAATAAAATAAAATGCAAGAGTGACAATAACAGAGAATTAAAACATTATGGAGTTCGATTACATTAGAGTCAATATTTCCAAAAAAAAAAAAATTATAATAAACGAAAAAAATAGGGACAGGGATGAGGGTTCCCAAAGAACTTCAGACAAAACATAGAAACCTGGAAAGTGAAAATGTGTTAAGGGTTAGGATCTCTACACTACCCTCAGTCCTTTCATCTATAAAGAAACAAAATAATATCCGCCGCGTGCACTTCATAAGGCGGCGGAGGAGACTGGCTTTTATACTTGCACTTTCAGTTTGTCAACCTAAAATACCGTTAGGAACGTAGGATGGATGAGTTCTATCTTATTAAGCTAAACGCTGCTGCAGATCTTGGCGCTGCGTGATTAGAAAACTGATAATAGTACAAATCTGAATCTTCTCAGCTCGTTCCATATAAAACCTCGGAGCCAGGTTCCTCTCCAAATGGAAGATTTAGATCAGGTAGCGAAAAGGCAGTGTCTCGGCTCCCAACCTCTTGTTGCACCTTGGAAGAAACATTTGAGGGACAGGAGCTTTGTGAAGTGCCAACGTTATTGCAATGAACACTTGTTTTCATTATTGGAGTAGTGTCACCAACCGCATTTATTTGCTCATGTTGGTGCCAAATGGCTTCACCAGACAATACAGGTGTTGTAGCTTTCATTTTTGTCTGCGGCGACTGCAACTCAAGCTGTAACCAAAAGATAAAACCAATATTACAAAACATGTTATACATACTGATAATCCTGAAAATGTAAATGATTGCATACTTGGTTGTTTGGCGTCTCGCAAATGATTAAAAAAGCAAATCTACACTAAGCTATCATCGACAGAAGTTATGTACTCCTCAAAAGTAAGTTCTTCAAACTTTCACGTTGATAAT